ACGTAGTATGTACGTTACTAGTATGTTACGCAGTTTTTTGTAAACAGGCAAACGTGACTTTCCAGACATCTGTTTGTTTTGTGCGTCCGTACCCAAGCTAATCTGGATCTTTTGTTGTGCCCTATTTCATAGTTTTCTATTTTGACAAATATTAAAGCCAAACTAATGAGAGACAATACCCCCCTACTCTTGAAACTGTATGATAAGAGGAAAACATTTATGGATTGTTGTGTACTCTCGTTGTCCAAACTAACTGTCTTAAATGTGATGGATCGGACTCCAGAGACTTTCCTGGCTGGTATGGATATAAAACTTTATCTGCACTCCAAAAACCTCAATTTTATACTATTGCAGTTTGGATAAGGTTCTACAGCAGACAGAATAGAATTGTGTCATTTTCAACAAGATTGTACAAGACGATTGTACACACATCGTAAGTACTGCTTGCCTATTAGAAATAGTTATTGTACAAACAAATCTGTTTAACGAACAACCAATTTCCTTGGTTTGACGACGTACATGAAATTTAGTGTCTGCTATTGCCTGTTTCAGTCAAAGTTTTGACTTTCCTAGCAGTTTTTGAAGCAAACAAATCTAGGCCTAGGTGGTCGGCAATTGCCGATTACCGACGTGAAATTCATGGGCTGGGCCCATCAACTTTATACTTTTTTGAAAATAAAAATGTTTATGTCAATTTTATCTTTCCATCCTTACATCTTAGGACATAATCTTAGGAATGTATGTTATTCCATTATGTCAGTGACATTCAACTCTAGGGCTATGCATGGTTGAACTTTAGCCTTTAAAAGTCATGCTATTTAATGTTAATGCTAATTAGCATCTATGTCCCAGTATTCAATACCGAGGTTACACCTTGGATGCAGTCAAGATCATCTGATCAGATGTAAACATGATATTGATTATGGAGAAGGTATAAAGTACTGAATGAACTTATATGAAGAAAGTATTAGTTATATAGTTGCAATTCAATATTTTGTAATTTTAGGATGATTTATAATTTATTGTCCCAAATAAAAAGAATTATTCTTTGTATTTATGAACTTATCTTTAAGCTTAATCAGTGATGATTACCTGTACTTGATAAGCTAGAGATATTTCACCAATCAAAAGTTCATGTAAGGTACAGTACAACAAAATATAAACCATTGACCAATAAAAATTGACATAGCATAAAAAAACTAAAACATACAGTAATTATTATTAACCAATCAAAGTTTTTGTAACATACATAAACACTATTTACCAATCAAAGTTCATGTAACAACATGATGAAATCAAAGTTCATTTGAAAAAAATAACGTTAGTGAGTGTACTAAAGGATAGATACCCATAAAAAAGATGAGAAAATATTTTATAATTTTGGAGTTTAGATGGTGACATGGACTGCTCAATATGACCACTGGTAAGGATCACATTATTTTTCTTATGTTTAATTCTACAAAAATAAATGAGTATCAAATTTTTAAGTTTTTATAGCGAGAAAGGATTAAATGGTGACAAAGATAGAGTACAGTATTCATTTTGTAGTTTATGATAAAAAATATCACTTGTTTGCTTGTTGTCCTTCGACGTCTTCCTAGCACTATGACTACTATTGGACTCCCATGGAAATTGAGGCAAAGCAAAATTGATTTTAAGCCCCTATGGGAAATAAGAACAAAGAGTACTAAGGGGTCGTTCAACATTAAGTGTACAAACAGTACGCTATCGGGGAGGGGGTAGACAAAGCTGTACTTTTTACATATGCATAAAAATGTTGATTCAAAATAACATGCATTATGTAAAATAGTGGTAAAATTATAATTTAATCATGGATATAATATTTATTTTTAAGCAACCAAGTACATTGCTGGAGAATGGTTTTGCAAAATCAACATTTTTTGTACACTTTCAGAGGGGAGGGAGGGGTACCGAAAAAGAGTACTCTTTGTACACTTGTGAAAACTTTGATAGTTTTGAATGACCCCTAATGTACAGTATTTCCATTGGTTGAAAGTTTTGTAAATACTGTTACAGGGAATGAAAAAAAAACCCATGTACAGTAAAGATGTGTATAAGAGACAGGGACAGTAGGACTATTGTGTTACAACATCTGTAAACAATATTTCTAATTAGCTTTCCTCCATGGATTACAGTATAATGTATTAATAAATAGCAATATGTATTATTCAGGAATATGTCTGTTGATTATTTTTAAGATTACAAATTATTTTTCTGACAATAGTACATAACATGTATTCTTTTAATACATAGCATTTTTTCAAGTGACTACAAAGTGCTAGCAGAACTCTAAAGTGAAAGCAGGACAAAAATTAAATGTTTTTCTTCAAAAGGTTTGTCCTAATTGTGGAACTAGAGTAGTGTTCTGAATATGGTGGAAGGTGTTCTAGAAAGGTGGACAGGATATACTGTAGAGTAGGATACCCAAATGATATACTGTAGGTACAGTGAGGATGAACCAAATAAAAGTGAATTTTCTACAAGTCAATAATTATGAACATATTGGCCTAAAAAAATTGGCGGGTTGAACCTGGTTCATCTTTGCAGATTCGTCACCACATACTGTACAGTAATAAGGGAGCTTCTCTAATCCATCGGGACAGCTGTGTAGTGAAGTGATTGCTGTAGCAACAGCTTAGCGGTTTTATAGAGTACCACAGTTGTGTCGTCACTTACTTATTTGCATGGTGTTTCATACTAGACTTTTTCTGGGTCTAATTCCCATATCTATATTGAAAAATATAACAAGTTTTTTCAACATAATCAAATGCTGGTGGTACTCTCTGATATTATCTAATAGAGAAGGGAAAAAATCAATAAATTAGAGACATGTGGCAAGTCTAGGTAATCATATACGCAGTGGTTTAAATCATATTATGTCATTTGGAGATGTTGGTCGTTTAGAGGTAAAGCCGGGCACACACACACTGCGCTGATGGACTTCAGCCAACACGATTACTGTACATGGACATTGCAACGTAACAAGACAGATTACATTCAATCAATCCACTCAAGACTATCACTAACAATTATCAGATTGCATCATGTTGTCAAGCGTGCACCAGAACAGAGATAAAATCTTTGGCCAGTGGTGTTGCAATGTGTGCCTAATTTTACAAAAGTTGTGGATTGTTAAAGCGAGTAGAAATACTGCAAAAGAGGCACTCACTCACTCTACACTGACTTTGTTTTTACTCACATTATTTGCATTTACAAAAAGTCATGTCATGTGTATGGATGGAACACTGGCTAAAGCTCATGCCTAATACAAGTTTAATGAGTCTTCATTTTAATTTTGTTTCATTTTTTACTCTCAAAAGTATGTAAACTACAAAAACAAGAATGTAGATGGTATATTGAGAAACACTAGAAAGAGGAAAACCAAAAAGTGAACTTAATCAACTATAAGGGAGTATAACCATGGATATAAATAATATTCATTTTTAAACAACCAAGTACATTGCTTTAGTTGACTTTACAAAAAATTGGAGAATGATTGCAAAATCAACATTTTTTGTACACTTTCAGAGGGGAGGGAGGGATACCGAAAAAGAGTACTCTTTGTACACTTGTGAAAACTTTGATAGTTTTGAATGACCCCTAATGTACAGTATTTCCATTGGTTGAAAGTTTTGTAAATACTGTTACAGGGAATGAAAAAAAAACCCATGTACAGTAAATTTGTGTATTTTTGCTTTTGAAATATATTTGTCATAGCAGGAACTCTGCTTTGGGACAAAGAAGGCGAGGTAGAAAGAGAAGGAAGGAGAGGAATGATGTGGTGGGTGCGGGCTTATTTGTTAAATGGACATTTGCAGAGATGCCAAGTTTTTCAATTAGCTAGGAGTGAGAATAATCAAACAATCGAGGGAGTAAAGCGACCGAGGTGTGGGAGTGATCCCTCTCCCACACACATAAAATTTTTCATTTTTGGGTTTTAAATTGTGCAATTTGGTGCATACGTACCAATATTACAATTTTATTTGCATAATTCTTATACAAGAGTAATACAAACTCCAAGAAATGAGATACATGACATTGTGTTTTGATTCAATATTTCAACATTTATTACTTCATCTTCAGGAATAAATGAAATTGTTGAGCAATGGGAAAGAGTCAACCTTTAGTCCTGTGAAGCTGATGAGTGGGCTTTGTTATAAATGCAGGTGGCCTTTTTTTTCCCAGATTTTAGTACATCCTTAGGTAGCTCTAGTGCATGAGCTGGATCCTCATGTTCCAATTTGATGGTCAGAATACTAATACAGAAATACAGAATACAAGGTATAATTGTAATACAGAATACAAGGTTCCCTTTGTATCTGAATTTGGGCGAAAGGCAGTTTTGTTTTTCCGAACAATTGAAAAGACTTGCTGCTCTTGCATACAGAAGAAGATAGCTTTCTAATTTTCTAATGTTATAGCTCCCTGTCTTTTTGTTAAAATTGTGTTTTTGTTGTTTTTTTTTGTTGTTTTTTTTTTTGCCTCGTCGACAACCGGCGTGAGAAAATGATTGTTGAGCGGGTGAGTGCGAGAAAAGGCACTGAGGCATGATTCTCACGCCGTAAGCGTGAGACTTGGTAGGTCTGGGTTTGCTTTGTTAACTACCGTAATTTCTTTAGTTTTACTTGCTCATATACACTATGTTTTTTGAATGTCATTGATACTGTACGAAAGTGCTGTTTTCTAAGTAAAGTATTAAGATTTTCCAAAAAGTGTTTAATATATTCAGGTAATCTAATCCCAAATGTTAACATGCATTGTATTTAGTTTATGGACAGATTATAGATAATAATACAGTTTACTTTACTAGAGTACTATTGGTTGTTACTATTCACTTGCAGAGGCATGACATTTACAGTAGTCACTGACAATACCCCTGGAACTACCTTTGTTGAAAGCTGTATTGTGCTTCTCATTTGAGAATACACAGAACTAAAAGGTGACCCATAATTAATGAACTGTACTTCCTTTTCTTCTAGTATTGACAAGATAACAAAGGTATCATCCCCAGTGTTAGTTATTCACGGAACTGAAGATGAAGTCATCGATTTCTCGCATGGACTAGCAATGTATGAGCGCTGTCCACGAGCCGTGGATCCACTGTGGGTTGAGGGCGCTGGTCACAATGATGTAGAGCTGTATAGCCAGTACCTGGAACGCTTGAAGCATTTTACGTCAGTAGAGCTCCAGCATGCTTTACCTCCTCAACAGCAACAACAGACACCACAACTGCAAGCACAAGATCAAACACCAGTTTCTGAGGAGCAACCAAAGGCCGTGGATGCAAAATGAGATGGTAAGTGTATTTTTTAAATGTTAATAATTAAGGCCAAGAGAGGTCATGGTATGTTGATCTATCTGCTTAAATTTGGCACTCCAGAAATGTCTGTTGTCAGTATTTTAGCATCAAGCGATAAGCCATGCCTGGTGTTCCTTATATAATAATGAATAATAATATGTTTGGATCTCTTTGGGGAGAATTCCATAATGTTGCAGCTGCCTACCACGTACCCACCTGTACTGCCGGTGGAAGAGACAAGTACTTTGCCTAAGGATAATGTACGTAAATGATAATGGTCATCTGCATCAATAATGTAGAGCTTTAGCCCATTTGGCAGTAACCAGCACACCATGTTCTCTTTGATCCTTGGCTTTGATCAGTAGTCTATTTTATGTACTTTATATCATCTAGCCTTTTTTCCCATCTCTTTTAATCACACATACTGTATTTCAGATCTAGTATGATCTCACAGGAGAAGATGGACAGGTTCATTTCCATACTAAAAACTAAAAATAATAATAGATATTGAATAAGAAAACTTGAAGCTCTTCTTTCACAAAGTTACTTTTTGGTGTTTTGAAATAAAAATGTACAGTATACTGTACATGCAACTTTTCTTTCTTAAGAGTAATTTTAGTGTTTTATTTCTAAATGAAACCCAATTTTTAGATTTTAATTAGCATAATGTAATTTTGTGTACTTTAATTTCATTTTTGTTGTAACTTTTGTACCTTACATACAGTAAATCTTTTCATAACTTGTAGTAAGTTAATTAAGTTCTGTTATTAATTACTTTACTTTTGTATTTTTTTCTTTGTTATATTAATTTGTATTATGTTTATGTTAAGTGAAAACGGCCTTGTGAAAAACACATTTTTCCATCTGAAAATAAAGTTGTTATTATTATTACCATATAGCGAGTCCTATATTATGTATAGAACCTCATTTTAGGCATTCCAAAACCTATCTTGTAGGACTGACATCTTACCTTCTGTATCGCTACAGTACATTTGTTGGGCATTGCTTCAGAGCTGATCAAATCATGTCGTCCTACTACTCTGGAACCAGACACTGAAATAGCTTACTGTAATTAGTGAAGCTGTAGAGAACAAATGATGATGAATGGTCATGCTATAAGTATAAGAAGTCATTAATTGTATTCAAGAGATAGTCATTTGAGGTAAATTGTAAAGGTACAGTAGGACAATAACCCAAAACTTGTGTGTGGGCACATGGTCGTGACTACTACAGCAGCTGCAGAGAGACACTCACCTGTAGTTCTTCTCATTCTACAACGACTGGAATGAACCATAGCATCAGGGTAACCTACTTCTCTTCAAAAAGATGCAGTGGGTTTTTAGAGTGCACAGAAGCTAGATGTACTGTGTAAGCTGGACGTTGGTCATTCATTTAGTTAGTTCCAACCATTACTGCATCAGATATTTTGCATCTTTGTGAAAATAATTTTCCAAAATAAAGTATTTTTCTTCCCTTCCTTTTTGAGTTTAGTACATCCTAAATATGTTTATGAGGTGAAACTGTGTCAAATTGTTGGGTGCTAAGACCAAAATGTCCGCAGGAAATAACCGTTAATAAAAGTACAATTACTGTAGAGCAGAACCATTCCCAAACAAACACCTAAAGGTAGAGTACATTAGTGATTAATATTAAGAGAACGTAAAACAGTGGTGTTGAAACCTATTTGAGGAATTAGGCCAACACTGGTAGAGAAAGCAGATACTCCAAATATTTAGGACTATTCACAGCAAACACCATACAGTACTATGCTCCTTTATGAGTATGAAATAGTAATGTACTGTAATATCTACCTGATTTATTACATATTGTCAGTTTATGTGAAGATGATGATGTATCTTCAAACTCAAATACATTGCATGCATCACATTGATACCTTATCTTTTCAAGTTATACTGTCCTGCTCAACACTTTGTCATAATATAGAGTGAGGGAGTCAGTAGAGTATATTATATTAAGCAATTATAGTCAGGTTTTGTGTACACTGTAGGAAATAGAAGCCGAAGGAGCCATTTTCCTGAAAAAGTGTCTACTGTAAAGCCTGTGAGAGCTATGCAATGGCAATTTTTGAAGGAAATAATGGTTCTTAAACTAAATTCTTAAGAAAATGGGTCCACATTATTTGAATTTACACATAAAGTGGGTCCACCCCAATATTGTCCCTCACTGTTTGAAAATCCTGGCTACAGCATTGATCACTAGCTGTTTGTATATAATTTTGATCAAAATGTGAGAATATCATGCAATACCTGGTTGTGATTTTTTGGCAATTTTTGCATATTTTTTTACATGATTTACCTTTAAATAACCTCATCAGATCAACACAGGCTACATGTATCTTCTCTTGTATTCAATGCAAGTTTTTCAGAAAACCGTGACTTGTAATTTGAAATATTTAATACATTATGGCTGCATGAGTGTGTACCATCCTCCCGTGGGATGTGCAAATTGCACGCGCTGATGCACGCTTGTTAACATATTGTATGTTGTGACGGCTATATGTGGTTCAGGGCAAATGTAAATAACAGCTTAATATTTTGAATGAAAAGGAAATTACTCTCATTGACAATAAGATGAGTAGTTGATATGATACATAATTTTTCTATGAGTAATACGTTTCAGCATTTGTCAATCAGTTATGTAATGCCTTCATTGAGAATATGGATTTAATACTCAAGGTCAGTTTTTAAGTGATTTTATGATTTATAAAATGTTTATTCAAATTTTTGCCATATCATTGCAAAAAAATTGCAAAACAATAAAAACAAGGCAAGGAAAGACCAAACAGGTGCTACACACCTATGCAAGTTGGTCAATAGATGTATAATAATGCTTTTTTTTTATTACTATACTTGAACATAGGCAATCGAATAAATGAAATGATAAATTATATTATCATAAAAGTATTTAATATTAGTTTATTTTTAATATTAAAGTAAAATAATTTTTGGTTTGATTTATTAAATACAAAATAATGAGAAAATTAAATCTACATGAATAGGTGACCATGATTCTGCATTTAAACAAACCTAACTTCTGGTTTCTTCACCTTTAAAACATTAATTTCATTTCAGTTATCATTAGTACTAACATCACAGATTGAGCATAAAAGCATTGGTTGCAAACACTGCCTGTGATATTAAGAGATGAAGTGGGTCACAAGCTGGCAAAATGCATTTAGATTACAAGGTGACAGATAAATCGATATTGCCACTATTATTATCAAAGGTCATAGTTACAGTACTTCATTGTAACAATACTGCATCTTGTCTCAACACTGAAAATGTACACAACTGTAGGAGCAAGTACAACCTTACATATTGCTGTTATTTAGTATTTGATTGTCATATATTAATATTGATGTCATTGTAGCCTAAAATACAATAGTGTGTGCTGCTAATAGTTTCTTGCGTGTATGTGTGTCAACGTATGGTGACGTATCCTTTTATGTGTTTGCTAAGTAATAGCTTTCACGTACACTGCATACATGTCAGCCTTGCTTATTTGTTAGGTTGTTATGTGCATGGTATGTTCTTCATAAAGGTGTTAGTATAATTTGCATAATTTAGCGTGCATGTGTAATGCTAGTGTTCGTTAGTGTATTGATGAGGGTATTGGTTGGTGTATAGATAGTGTTTTGTACTTGTGTAATCAATGCTGTTTGGCATAGTTCTGCATGATTAAATAAACTGAAAATAACTTGTAACAAATCTGTACAATTTATTTATCAAATCCCCCCTCTGACATACACAATTATTTGATGATGATCAGGTTTATGTTGAAGATGGTTTCAACTGTGATCCTGATTTCTATTAATAAATACTAGATTTGGTAGCCTGCAAACCAACATTAGAGTATTAAAACACTGTATGAATATTAAACATCAGGTAATTTCAGTCTGCACAACACAGGGAAAATATACTAGCAACTTCATGGATTTTTTGCCAGCATTGGGAATCATTAAAAATGTAAATTTTACTGTAATCCTATACAGTACATAATAATATCTATGCATAAAACTGATGAGCATACGCTTGTGTCGTCGATGTATATGCATACAATTATACTTGATGAAAGCTGTATGATGCAAAGTTTAAGCCCTGTCCACATGATCAAATTGTATTTAAGAAAAACATGTGACATGCCTAAATATGGTCATCATGACACAGGTTTAGCCATAAAAATGAAATAGGACGACCAAAATGAACGACGAAGAACTTGTCACCCTTCCTACATAAGAAAAAAATAGAAAATTATGACCTTTAGAGTGCATTTAGTGTGTGTGTTCCATATGTGCTTGATCCAGTGACCAGGAGTAGTAATAATGCTAAGCGCATAGAGGTCACTACAATATGCGTTATATAAGTCAACAATTACATTATTATTATTATTATTTAAAGGTGTTTAAATGTTGGAATTTTGTCTTCAAAGGATTAGTGTTGAATTAGCTATCACAAAGATATTTCAGTTTCAGACACACTGTAGACTGGCCTTGGCAATGGTTGGTTACTCACATTATTTTTCTAGTCTATGCATCTTCATCTTTAGCCCTAGTCTAGTGAAAATTCTACTCTAGGTCCTCTGAATCGAGAGATGTATAGGCTTAGGCCTACTGTATTTTGTTGACTATTAAACATATCTGCTTTACAGTATTTTGTTATAACCAGGCAGTTACAAACAAGAACGATATCTCGGGGAATCGAATCGCAAGTACTGTATTTGCAGAGCCACATGCATGCATTGTTGGAGACTTAGAACTGTTTCGAAGAGTATAAGAATTTGCTAAAGGCAGACCAGGCCCGACTAGGTTAGGCCGAGCTGAGTAGGCCAATCCATCCAAGCCGTCATGGTAAAAGTGCCATTCAAAATAAATGTTGGCCGTCCAAAAGACGGCCGGATGGCTTGTTGGCTAAACCCTTATGATGACGTCAAATCCTGACCATACAGTATCTAAGCTCATCGTGACTACAGTATATGGG